GTTGCTGTCACAATTACATTGCTATGGAAATCCCTAAACTATGTTAGTGCCAAGCTAGTAATGGGATTTATTCATATTTTATGACATTTATTCTAAAGTTTTGCTGTAAAGGCCCAGCCTGTCCTGCCGGCCGCCAGCAGAGGGCGACGGCAGCGAGGTGCCACAAGTTCAGGGAACTCCAAATCCCAGAAGCCCTCGGGCTGATTAGGCCCAACCTGGCACACCTGTGGACTCCTCTACTTAAGGCTGTGGCAAACGGCAGCCCTTTGTCACACCTTTGTAGAGGGGTGACTGGTACGGTACTTAGCCCAGGTGGGTTAAAAGAAAAGAGGGCTGGGAAAAAAAAGAAATTGGCCCAAAACAACAGAAAGAAGAAAAAGAGGGCAAAAAAAAATACATTGCCCCAAAACTACTTAAAAGCCAAAAAGAAGGCTTAAATAAGAAACGGCTCCAAGCCATACAAAAAGTGTTTGTTCCACAAAGAGCAAACAGGTGAAACATAAAGCTGATCTACCTCTCGTAATCGCACAGTATTTGTTTTTGGTTTTCAGATTATCTTTTATTTCAGTTTTCTGTCTCAGCCTTTATTTGATCCCATTCGTTGAGGTGTGTTTCATGTTCTCGCCTGTGCTTCCCCGTGACAATTGGCAGTTATAGAGTGTGAAGCAGCTACAGAGAGCCTGTAAAATATGTGTGTGTGTGTATATATATATATATATATATATGTATGTATGTATGTATATATATAATTTTATTATATACATTTATTTACTATATTACCCTTCCCTAGTTAATAGCATGTAGACATCTGATATTCAGAGTTCAGAAATACTCACCCATAATTGTAAAATATTATGCAAGACAGCATGAGAGAGAGTGTGTCACCACGTGTAGCATCATAGCTGCACAGAATATGCCTTAAGTACACTAATAAAGAACATGGTTCTTCAAGAATTCTTTCGTAAAGACAATGGTTCTATGAAGAACCAAAAACTATTTGCATGCTTTAAAGGGCTCTTGTGTTGTGTATGCTTCTATACAGCACTAAAACGGGTTCTGCTGTTGTTACGATGTCAAGCTTGTACCATCGGCAGACCCCTTTTTTGGTGCTATATAGAACTCTTTTCAAAAAGGTTCTATACAGAACCACACACAGCACATTCTCCATCAATCTGAAGAACCATTTCTCTATGCAAAGAACCATTTAAGCATGCAAATGGTTCTTTGAGTGTTCATGGTTCTAAACAGAACCATTGTCTTTACTACAGATAAATTGAGGAACTGTCTCTTTAAGAATGTACTTAGCATCACTTGCATTATGGTCATTTATCATTCATGTATTTGTTATGGTTTTGTATTTTTGATAAATATTCCTCCTACATGTGAATATTTTTTCCTACCCCCTCCTTGTGAATTTCCACATTTTCACATATTGTAAAAGCTTATTCTCTATGTAGCACAACGGCACGGCCATGACATTATACACACACAAAAACTGCCGAGTCATTGACAACTTGCAGAATTTTTGTTGTTATCTCATGATTTAAGGGTGTGAGAGTTTTATTGCTCACAGTCCAAAACAAACAGAGAGTGAAGTGTAATTCAATGTTATATATTTACATATTTATCCTTTCAGCTATGGTGCCCGTACCATGAGAGATCTTTGGTTAGAGGAGCCTGTGAGAAAACCCTGAAGGACCTAAAGCTGGACTATCTGGATCTCTAGCTAATACACTTCTGTATGATAAAATTAATAAATAGATATTTATAATGTACAACATGTGAGAAGCATCTGCTTGCTGGATTTGAATCTGCAGCCTAGAGAACAAGTGAAGTCAAGTCAAAGTTTACTTATATAACGCTTTTTACAACAGCTGTTGTCAAAAAGCAGCTTCATAGAAAAATCTGGGTCTGAGTCCCCATGAGTGTCGCCAGTAGCAAGGAAAAACTCCTTAAGAGCATAAAGAGGAAGAAACCTTGAGAGGAAACAAGACTCAGAAGGGGAGCCCATCCTCCTCTGGTCCACATTGGATAGCAAAGCAATCATAAGTGCAATATGAGCAGAGAATAAGATTTTACCATTAATATAATATATTCAAATAGAGAAAAGGGAAAAACAGTCACTGGACAGAAGTATTTAGGTTAAGTAATGATAACTGATGACTGCTGTTAGAGGCTGAGGTTTTTAATGCATGTAATTCCTATGCTAGTAGGAAATTAGTTGCTGCGCCGCAGCTGCTTCCAAAAACTTTGATATAAAGGGAAGATTTGAGATAGGTACACCGATCAGGCATAACATTATGTTTATGTTATGTTTCTACACTCATTGTCCATTTTATCAGCTCCACTTACTATATAGGTGCACTTTGTAGTTCTACAGTTACAGACTGTAGTCCATCTGTTTCTCTGATACTTTGTTAGCCCCCTTTTACCCTGTTCTTCAGTGGTCAGGACCCCCATGGACCCTCACAGAGCAAGTACTATTTGGGTGGTGGATCATTCTCAGCACTGCAGTAACACTGACATGGTGGTGGTGTGTTAGTGTAAGGTGTGATAAGGCTTTATTTTCTGTGCTAAAAAGTAAAAAAAAAACAAAAAAACAACAAACAGTGCATCTTCTTTCTTTCTAATATCCTTGATTGAACTCATTCATTCATTCATTCATCATCATTAACCGCTTAATCCACATAGGGTCACAGTAGCAGTTGGGAGAGCAGAGAATCCCAGACGGCCCTTTCCCCTGCAACTTCCTCCAGCTCATTCTGGGGGATCCCGAGCTGCTCCCAGGCCAATTTGGAGATATAATCCCTCCAGCAGGTCCTAGGACAACCCCGGGGTCTCTTCCCAGATGCCCAAACCACTTCAACTGGCTCCTCTCAGTGTGGAGAAGTAGCAGCTCTACTCTGACCTCCTCCCAGATGACCGAGCTCCTCACCCTATCAAGTAGAGTGTAGCCGCCACCCTGCGAAGAAACCTAATTTCCACTGCTTGTATCTGGGATCTCATTCTTTCGGTCATGATCCACAGCTTGTGACCACAGGTGAGAGTTGGGATGTAGGCAGAGAGCTTTGCCTTATGGCTCAGCTCTTCACCACTACAGTCTGATACAGTGACTGCATTACTGCTGCCGCCTGACCCAGCCTGCAACCGATCTCACGATCCCTCCTCACATCAATCGTGAACAAGACCCCAAGATACTTAAACTCCTCCACCTGGGGCAGGTCCTTTAACCTGACCTGGAGTGGGCATGCCATCCTTTTCCAGGCTAGGACCATGGACTCGGAGGTGCTGATTGGCTTCAGACTCAGTTGCAAACCGCTCCAGTGAGCGCTGGAGGCATCCATGCAATCCAACCAAAAGGACCACATCATCTGCAAATAGTAGAGATGCCACCCTCCGGCCTCCACCCATAATGACCTCCTGACCGCGGCTACGCCTTGACACCCTGTCCATGAATATCACGAACAGGAGTGGAGACAAGGCACAACCTTGGCGGAGTCCAACACTAAGACAGAATGAGCTTGACCTAATGCCGAGTATAGGAACACAACTCTCACTCCAGGAGAACAGAGAATGAATGGCCTGGAGTAGAAGCCCCGGCACCCCATACTCCCGACCCCGACTCCCCAACCGCTCCTGAGCCAATAAACTCCAACTGCACGGCAGCCAGCCGGGGACACATGAGTACCACCACACCTGCTCAGTGCCTCTCACCCTGCACAACTCCTGAGTAGGAGAGAGACCATCCATTGGAGCCAGCTTGTTAAAATGGGTCATTTTCAGTTATTCTTCCCTTGAAATGTTTCAAGGCTTTGCCATTTCACCTTCTTTTACCCATACAATACTGTAGTGACCGTGAGCCATTATTTCTCAGTTTGCTTGTATCAAAGTTTCACTGTGCTGGGTTATATAATCATAAGAATGTGTGTGGAGAGAACATGTGAACAAACTCCTTTTTGACACGTTGTGCAGAAGCAGATTCTGTATTTCAGCCTATTTATTCATCCAGTTATGAGTTTGTAAATGTTTTCTAAAGATTTTACTTCCACAGACTGCGGAGCTTTTTGTCAAGTCAATTTACTGAGTGCAAGCCTCTGCTGGACCGGCTGCTAACTCCTCCTCCTTGTTGGCTCCAAGCTCCAGCAGCTAATGGGTGGACCCAATCAAATCCCGACACTGGCCTTTTATTTGATGAGCTGCCACAGTGTAAAGAAACAGAGGGACTTCTGTTGGAAGCCACTTCACTATCTAGTACATCTAAGTAGAAAAACAACATTTCTTCATCATGGCATCCACTCTCACGCTCAACACTGGAGCACAAATGCCCATTGTAGGTCTGGGGACATGGAAGGTAAGAGACTTTGAAATATTGTGCTACTGAATCCCAGACTGCTTTTGTTTAAACGAGCTTTTCAGCAACAGCTTGCAGTTATTCTCTTGCACCATTGTAACTGCACAGTTGTAGGCTATTCTATCTCTCTCACTCCTCTTCTCTGACTCTCCTTTAATCCCTTTCTTAATGTGTTAAGTGGAACCTGTGTATTCCAGTATTCTCAGTCACTTCTTACCAGCTACATGCATTTAGGTCACCAAAACTCAGCACTAATCGTGAAAACTTATGGCCTTTTATAGCTCCCCCCACTTTAATTCATGTAAATGCAATCAGGAGTTTTAAAGATGAGTTTGGTAGCTGATCAGCTGGATTTAGTATTTCAGAGCACAGACTACATTAAACTAGTGGTAGTTTAGAACTACATGACTCCCAGTGTTAAAGTGTCAGTGATGTTTCTCCACAGTCCTCCCGAGGAGAGGTCACAGAAGCTGTAAAGGTGGCCATCCTGGCTGGCTAGCGTCACATAGATCAGAATGAGGAAGAGGTTGGGGCCGGTGTCCGTGCCATGATTGACCAAGGAGTGGTAAAAAGAGAGGAGCTTTTCATCATCAGCAAGGTGGGCAGAACCATTACTGTCATTTGGTTTTATCTTCTTATGGGTCTTATAGGTTTTAAGTTTTTAAGCAATTGATCAAATACATCATTGCTGTCGCTACAAAACCTCTCCTTTTTTACATCACCTTTTACATTACAAAATGTCAGGATGAATGGACCGACAGAAGTGCTCCACAATTACTTGGAACAAATAATTTCTCCATTTACTACCATTAAAAGTTAGTCATGTATTTTTTTCTCCTATAAAGTCCACCACTTTTGGTGAATTTCTTTTTTTGGTGTCTTCTTGCCAGCTGTTATGTAACAAAACTGTTTTTCTTTTCTGTAATTTTGACTACACTGAGAACCAGATACTCTTCACAAATGAACATACCAGCAGTGCAAGGCATTACATAACAATGTTTACTGCAGAAACCTTGAGGGTGTGTCCTGCAGTCGCAGGGGTGGTTGGTGTGGACTTTGTGTTAGTGCAGTGAGTGCAGTAGATCACATAGAGAACTGGAGAATAGTCGATTGTGAGAGAAAATGGGAAAGGGCGGAAACACTACAATGACAGAAGTGACGAAAATTCCACACGTTGGCTGTAAAAACTCATTCTGCTATAGCAGTTTACACTTCTCCATGGCACATAAGCAACGCATGGTAGTTTAAAAACTGCTGAGTCATTGACACCTGGCAGAATTTTTGCTGTTATCTAAAAGCCTTTAAATCAAATACAAACAGAACAGAGCGGAACATTTTATATGTTCATCTTTTCAGCTGTGGTGCACGTTCCATGAGAGATCTCTGGTTAGAGGAGCCTGTGAGAAAACCCTGAGTGACCTAAAGCTGGACTATCTGGATCTCTACCTGATTCATAACCCTATGGGCTTTAAGGTATATATATTAAATAAATGTTTATAGCATAAAACATGTGAAAAGCCTTACATGTGCACAAGTCCTGATTGCTGGATTTGAATCTGCAGCCTGGAGAAGAACTTTTCCCGCTTGATGCTGAGGGCAAAGTGATTCCAGACAACAGCACCTTTCTGGAGACATGGGAGGTAATTACAGAGTCATAAACCTGAAATTTGAACATAGACTGTTCTGGAACAGATCAAAACCTCATTATTGCTTCATTAAATCAATGCATATGTATGTACTCCATTATTCTGTTGCACTGATATGAGTGGATCAGACACAGCAGTGCTGCTGGAGTTTTTAAACACTGTGTCCACTCACTGTCCACTCTATTAGACACTCCTACCTGGTCAGTCCACCTTGTAGATGTAAAGTCAGAGACGATAGCTCATCTGCTGCTGCACAGTTTGTGTTGGTCATCCTCTAGTCCTTCATCAGTGGTCACAGGACGCTGCCCACAGGACGCTGTTGGCTGGATGTTTTTGGTTCTCAGTCCAGCAGCGACACTGAGGTGTTTAAATACTCCAGCAGCACTGCTGTGTCTGATCCACTCAGACCAGCGCAACACACACTAACACACCACCACCACGTCAGTGTTACTGCAGTGCTGAGAATGGGGGTCCTGACCACTGAAGAACAGGGTGACAAAGTATGCAGAGAAACAGATGGACTACAGTCTGTAACTGTAGAAACAGTTGTGTAGTGAAACTATACGGTCAGTGGAGCTGATAAAATGAACAATGAGTGCAGATACAAAAGTGTGCTGGTGAATTTCTGTGTAACACCAGGATTTTCACCTAAAAAGCCTCGTGTTTTCTTCCCATCGGTTAACCGATCATCCGTTCATTAACCCATTAAGATACTCAGGTATCAAAATTAGTCAGATTATAATTGTTCATAAAACGCACATAGAAGGTTCTGTGAATTTGGATCATTCTAATGTTTTCAGTTTTATCATAAAGGAAATGGAGAAGCTGGTGGACGCTGGGCTGGTCAAGGCCATCGGTATCTCCAACTTCAACCGAAGCCAGATTGAAGCCATCCTGAACAAGCCAGGCCTCAAGTACAAACCTGTCACCAACCAGGTAGCATTTTGCAATCTATAGTTCTTACTTTACTCCCCTGTTATTGAATGATAATGATACACTCATCAAGTTCACAATTCTGTATGACTAATAATGCTTACTAGGGGGAGAGATGGAGTGAGGTGCTGATTGGTGCTGATTGTTGTTCAAACAATGCAATCACATTAGATAGCATAATTAATCAAAAGTCCATTCTTCACGATGCACAGTTACACCATATTCAATAATCATTTTGGTAAAATAAATGAAAACAGCTGATGTTTTTATCTCCTACTCCAGATTGAGTGCCATCCCTACCTGACGCAGGAGAAGCTGATCGACTTCTGTCACTCTAAGGGCATCACAGTGACTGCGTACAGCCCTCTGGGGTGCCATGACAGACCATGGTGGGCAAAAACTAAAACCTTTGCCAGATACCACCAGATTCCAGATTTGTCCTTAAAGGGGAATTCCACTGCTTTTTCCAAATTTCTTTATAATTCAGTTGTTAAAGTGTAAAGAAAAGTCGTTCAGAGTGGTTGTGAAATGCTTAAGTCAATCACAGTGGTGGTGATAGGAACCAGACGTCTGAAGAGTTTAATGCCTGTCTTACACTACGGTATTACATGAAATGGTTATGAATGTGCTGCCTGAAGGCGAAGACATTGTAAGATAAGATTTTGGCCTAAAACATATTTTTAAAATATGAGGAGGGATTGGCATAAATAACCACCATCAACGTTCTGTATAAAAACTCAGAAGACTCATGTAGGTTCACTGGTTTGTGTTGTAGTCCTGGCGATATCTCGTTCCTATCATCACCACTGTAAAGAAATCTCAGTCTTTATAATCAGCCATTTCACACCAAACCACTCTGATTCACTTTGTTTACATCTAAACAATCTAATTATGCAGACATTTTGAGAAAACAGTGGAATTCCCCTTTAAGTAATCAGTGAACCCACCCATCACTGCAGAACTGAACGGAACCCATTAACTCTACTGATCGATCTCTTTTTACAGGGCAAAGCGACGTGACCCGTCCATACTGAAGGACCCAAAGATCAGAGCCATCGCTGATAAATATAAGAAAACAGCAGCGCAGGTACCTGTGTGTGTCGTTATGACATCATCATGTGTGTAGAAAGACGGTTTACATTTCACGCTGAGAGGGTCGTGTGATGTTCTTACCTCAGACCACCTGATATGCTTCATCAATAGATCCTAATCCGGTTCCACATTGAGAGGAATGTTGCAGTTATTCCCAAATCTGTCAAGCCGGAAAGAATCAAAGAAAATTTCCAGGTGATCTTACTGGATTGTGTACTGTATGTTGCTGCATGTAAATCTCCTCATAATGAAGGAACATATTATTATATTATTATGTTTCCTTTTTGATACAGGTCTTTGATTTTAAGCTGAGTACAGAAGATATGAACACCATTATGAGCTTCAACAGGAACTGGAGAATAATCTTACTAGACTTGTGAGTTAAGAGATACTGAGAATATGTGTGGCTGTGTTTTTATATATTTATAATCTGTTTGTCACTCAGTGGCTCTGTTATCCTTTCATTTAGGGCTACTAACCACAAGGACTACCCACTGAACGCAGAGTACTGAGCTCCTCACCTGCACGGCCTGAATGTTCATTCTGTGCTGATATCAAGTGCAAATATTATTTAAACTAAGAAATAATTTGGTGCTCATTGTGTTTTGATAAATACTTATTCCTGAAATGATGATTAATTAACAAGGACTGAAATAAATTTCTGTGTGAAACTTCAAGCGTTTTTTTTTTTTTGTGGCTGAGCTGTTGTTGCTCCTGGATGCTTCCATTTCACAATAATTGCACTTACAGTTGACTGGGGCAGATCTAGCAGGACAGAAATTTCACAAACGGACTTGGGCAGAGGTGGCATGCTGTGACAGTGGCATATACGCTCATTTATTTTTACTCTGTAACGTTATGAAAATTCAAAGTAGCGAAGTAAAAGTATTTCAGTAAAAATGAACTCAAGTAAGAGTAAAAGTACTATAATTTAATTCTACTCCAAAAAGTACCATAACAGGGAAAACTGTAATTATAGTAACGAGAGTAAATGAAATTTGTTACTTACACCTCTGGTTACAGGGCTGCCAACTCTCACACATTGTCCATGAGACTAAGGCATGTAGACCTAGTCTCACACCACACGCAGCATTTCTCACACATTTCTACATCTCCTCAAAACAGCCTACTGATGAGCCTGAATGCTCAAAGTTTCACACTTATCCAACTTTAATGATTAAAAACAAACTGGCAGCTGTGATTTACTCTAATTCAAGAGAGAGAGTGCGCTAGCTAGTCAGTCACTGCCAGTGCTGCAGATTAGTGGCCTGTATCTGGTTGTAGAGAGGAGAATTACCACTCAGTATGTCTTCCGGGTTTCTGTAACGCTAGAGGGCACTCTCCTGAGAAAGTCTTAGATGAATGGGTCAAGATGGAGCATTTGAGCAAAATCATGGTTTATAAATACTTTTAAATATTAAATATATAAATATTTTTTATGTTAATTTCCTGAACACAGAACAGCATAAAACATCTTAACACTGCTGTTATATCTTTGAGAGCTTTTGAACTCGAGCTATAAGAGTTTGAGACAGTGCCTCATGTACATTTATGACTTCAGTGAGCCAATAAGCTGCTCCACTGACCAGCCAATCAGCACTCAGTGGAATTAATCCTAATCAATCAGCACACGGTAGCAGTAATGCTAACGTCCTGCTTCCTAAAACTCGTTTGCTGTAGAAAAATGAAACATGCTGGTAGGTTATCTTTGCTTTTTTAGTGAAAATACAAACTTCTACTTTTCAAAATGAAAGGAAAGTTCTAAGGAAGTCATTCCAGTCAGCTCCATTCACCCCCATTCATTGACAACTCGCAGTCATGTTTTTGACATAACAGGCTAAACAGGAAGAGGCCAGACTCCTCATAAACCGGCTCTGGAAAAACCTTGAAAAACCACTGAAAACACACAACAAACCCCCCCAACTAGTGTGAACTGAAGGGAGATGAAGAGGTAAACGACCGACTTGGTCAGTGAACTGAGCATGACTAATAACAAGTTCTTAAATAGCTAAAATGATAAGCAGGCAGGGGCGCAGGAAGGTTTTTAAGTTGGGGTGTTGCGTATGTGCGGTGTGGCCGATGAGTTGACTGTTTTCATTCGTTATTTATTTATTCATTTATTTGTTGAAGTATGTATCTGTAAGGAATCAGCCCATGCCGCCTGCAGCCAGCAGAGGGCGTAGGCGACTCTCTGAGGATGAGAGCCAGTGGCCGTGGGAACTCCAATTCTCAGACTTCCCTGGGTTAATCAGGCCAACTGGCCTCACCTGCTGAGTGCTGTACTTAGGACAGGCAAACGGCACTGACACCTTTGTAGAGGGGTGATCAGAATGACAGCAAGACAGACGTTTGAACATGCTGCTCTGGCATTCCTTTGTTTGAATTTTCTCAAAAAAAATCCTAATTTTTCCCCAAACCGGTCACACCAACATTCACATGCACATCTTGTACATTCACAAGTATCTGCCCCTGCCCCTGCCCCTGCCCCTGCCCCTGCCCTTGCCCCCGCCCTTGCCCCTGCCCCCGCCCTTCCCCTTGCCTCCCCTTACATCAAGCAGAACATGTCATACAGAGCTATAACGAGTCGAGTGGGGTGGGGGCGGAGATCACCTTCGGGGTGAAGTGTGTGGCTAGTGGTGACCTCCCCCTCGAGTTCAGTGTTTTGTATGGGCTTCTCTGCTGTGCCTTACTGTCTTACTCTCTGTTGCTGTCACAATTACATTGCTATGGAAATCCCTAAACTATGTTAGTGCCAAACTAGTAATGGGATTTATTCATATTTTATGACATTTATTCTAAAGTTTTGCTGTAAAGGCCCAGCCTGTCCTGCCGGCCGCCAGCAGAGGGCGACGGCAGCGAGGTGCCACAAGTTCAGGGAACTCCAAATCCCAGAAGCCCTCGGGCTGATTAGGCCCAACCTGGCACACCTGTGGACTCCTCTACTTAAGGCTGTGGCAAACGGCAGCCCTTTGTCATACCTTTGTAGAGGGGTGACTGGTACGGTACTTAGCCCAGGTGGGTTAAAAGAAAAGAGGGCTGGGAAAAAAAAGAAATTGGCCCAAAACAACAGAAAGAAGAAAAAGAGGGCAAAAAAAAAAATACATTGCCCCAAAACTACTTAAAAGCCAAAAAGAAGGCTTAAATAAGAAACGGCTCCAAGCCATACAAAAAGTGTTTGTTCCACAAAGAGCAAACAGGTGAAACATAAAGCTGATCTACCTCTCGTAATCACACAGTATTTGTTTTTGGTTTTCAGATTATCTTTTATTTCAGTTTTCTGTCTCAGCCTTTATTTGATCCCATTCGTTGAGGTGTGTTTCATGTTCTCGCCTGTGCTTCCCCGTGACAATTGGCAGTTACAGAGTGTGAAGCAGCTACAGAGAGCCTGTAAAATATGTGTGTGTGTGTGTGTGTGTGTATATATATATATATATATATATATATATATATATATATATATATATATATATATATATATATATATAATTTTATTATATACATTTATTTACTATATTTATTTATTACCCTTCCCTAGTTAATAGCATGTAGACATCTGATATTCAGAGTTCAGAAATACTCACCCATAATTGTAAAATATTATGCAAGACAGCATGAGAGAGAGTGTGTCACCACGTGTAGCATCATAGCTGCACAGAATATGCCTTAAGTACACTAATAAAGAACATGGTTCTTCAAGAATTCTTTCGTAAAGACAATGGTTCTATGAAGAACCAAAAACTATTTGCATGCTTTGAGGGCTCTTGTGTTGTGTATGCCTCTATACAGCACTAAAACGGGTTCTGCTGTTGTTACGATGTCAAGCTTGTACCAACAGCAGACCCCTTTTTTGGTGCTATATAGAACTCTTTTCAAAAAGGTTCTATACAGAACCACACACAGCACATTCTCCATCAATCTGAAGAACCATTTCTCTATGCAAAGAACCATTTAAGCATGCAAATGGTTCTTTGAGTGTTCATGGTCCTAAACAGAACCATTGTCTTTACTACAGATAAATTGAGGAACTGTCTCTTTAAGAATGTACTTAGCATCACTTGCATTATGGTCATTTATCATTCATTTGTTATGGTTTTATATTTTTGATAAATATTCCTCCTACATGTGAATATTTTTTCCTACCCCCTTCTTGTGAATTTCCACATTTTCACATATCATAAAAACTTATTCTCTATGTAGCACAACGGCACGGCCATGACATTATATACACACACAAAAACTGCAGAGTCATTGACAACTTGCAGAATTTTTGTTGTTATCTCATGATTTAAGGGTGTGAGAGTTTTATTGCTCACAGTCCAAAACAAACAGAGAGCGAAGTGTAATTCAGTGTTATATATTTACATATTTATCCTTTCAGCTATGGTGCCCGTACCATGAGAGATCTTTGGTTAGAGGAGCCTGCGAGAAAACCCTGAAGGACCTAAATCTGGACTATCTGGATCTCTAGCTAATACACTTCTGTATGATAAAATTAATAAATAGATATTTATAATGTACAACATGTGAGAAGCATCTGCTTGCTGGATTTGAATCTGCAGCCTAGAGAACAAGTGAAGTCAAGTCAAAGTTTACTTATATAACGCTTTTTACAACAGCTGTTGTCAAAAAGCAGCTTCATAGAAAAATCTGGGTCTGAGTCCCCATGAGTGTCGCCAGTAGCAAGGAAAAACTCCTTAAGAGCATAAAGAGGAAGAAACCTTGAGAGGAAACAAGACTCAGAAGGGGAGCCCATCCTCCTCTGGTCCACATTGGATAGCAAAGCAATCATAAGTGCAATATGAGCAGAGAATAAGATTTTACCATTAATATAATAGATTCAAATAGAGAAAAGGGAAAAACAGTCACTGGACAGAAGTATTTAGGTTAAGTAATGATAACTGATGACTGCTGTTAGAGGCTGAGGTTTTTAATGTATGTAATTCCTATGCTAGTAGGAAATTAGTTGCTGCGCCGCAGCTGCTTCCAAAAACTTTGATATAAAGGGAAGATTTGAGATAGGTACACCGATCAGGCATAACATTATGACCACCTCCTTGTTTCTACACTCATTGTCCATTTTATCAGCTCCACTTACTATATAGGTGCACTTTGTAGTTCTACAGTTACAGACTGTAGTCCATCTGTTTCTCTGATACTTTGTTAGCCCCCTTTTACCCTGTTCTTCAGTGGTCAGGACCCCCATGGACCCTCACAGAGCAAGTACTATTTGGGTGGTGGATCATTCTCAGCACTGCAGTAACACTGACATGGTGGTGGTGTGTTAGTGTTAGGTGTGATAAGGCTTTATTTTCTGTGCTAAAAAGTAAAAAAAAAACAAAAAAACAACAAACAGTGCATCTTCTTTCTTTCTAATATCCTTGATTGAACTCATTCATTCATTCATTCATCATCATTAACCGCTTAATCCACATAGGGTCACAGTAGCAGTTGGGAGAGCAGAGAATCCCAGACGGCCCTTTCCCCTGCAACTTCCTCCAGCTCATTCTGGGGGATCCCGAGCTGCTCCCAGGCCAATTTGGAGATATAATCCCTCCAGCAGGTCCTAGGACAACCCTGGGGTCTCTTCCCAGATGCCCAAACCACTTCAACTGGCTCCTCTCAGTGTGGAGAAGTAGCAGCTCTACTCTGACCTCCTCCCAGATGACCGAGCTCCTCA